GGGGAGGATGAGATTGAAGGAGAGTGGGGAGGATGAGATTGAAGGTGAGTGGGGGAGGATGAGATTGACCGGGAGTGGGGAAGATGAGAGATGGGGTCTGATTGGGGGATGAGAGTCCCGGAGACTTGGGTTCCTCCGGTAACTGATTAAGCAATGACGAAGGGCATGTAAGATGGGAGGACTCCTGAATGTCTCGTGGCTCACCAGGATGGTAAGGTTGTGAGTGTGGGGTGGGGTAGGTGGGTAGGTGGGTCTTGCCAGCAGCCTGCGGGGCTCAGGGGTCCTCTCCACCCCAGCCTCAACTGTAAAACTAGGGGAATAATAAGTGGCTTGCGGGACTGTGGCGAGCATCAGAGCCAGGCACTGAGTAGGACTTGGGATCATCGTAACTACGACCCCCGTCACCGTTGTCAATGCAGGCAGCTGTTTGATGGGGACAGAGTGACCGTGGTGGGGTTAGGATATGGTTTCTCCAGAGGTTTAATATTTGGGTGGGTTCTCAGGGGTCCAGGAAAGGATGGAGGCAGGAGGATATTTCAAAGGAGCCTTCTGGCCTTGGCATCTTTGCTGTCGGGTGGGCGTCTGTAAGTGAACTTGACCTTGGGTGGCAGCCTTGAGGCTGATGGCTCTGCCCTGGGGCATGGCAGTGGGGAGCCCTGACACATAGGGGAGGAAGAAACACCGACATGTAGTTCCCTCGTCCGACTCCCCTCTAGGATGTCAGCTCCACGTGGCCAAGGGCCTCGTGGAAGCCTGGGGCCCAACCCAGTGCCTGGCACCGAGAGTCCAGGGGAGGAAGAAGGTCAAGATCGCCCCCAGAGGCCCTGTTGACTCAGCTCTGGGGGCCCTGTCGCCCAAGTTTGCAGAGCCCCCCTCCAGTCTATGGCCCAGGAAAGCTGGCCCCTGCTTACTTGTGGCCTGGAGGAGCTGGCGGTGTGAGGAGTGGCGTGGAGGCCCAGAGACGAGTGCCCCAGGCTGGGACCCGGCAGACTGAGGGCTTCCCGACTCTCCTTTCTGGAGCCCAGTGCTCTGAGGTGTCAGGGGGATGTGGGGTATCAGGTGGATGGGGAGCAGTTGCACTGGGTCCTCGCAGGAGTCAAGTTCTATATCTCCACTGGGTACAGACGGGCCTGAATCCCCCTGCAGGAGAGGGGAAACGGAGTCCATTTATTCACTTAACAAGTGTTTCTGAGCACCCACTACGGGCAGACCCCGTTATAGGTGCTGAGATACAGCACTGAGCAAATCAAACAAAACTCGCTGCCCTCGAGGAGCTGACCATCTAGGAAAGATGGTCAGTAACAGCATGATTAAGCATCAGAGCAGAGGAAGAGGGAGAGGGAGAGTGGAGGAGAGGTGGGAGTAAGGGGCAACTTTAAATGGAGTGAGGGGAAGCTCCTTGAGAAGGTGACATTTAAGCAGAGCCCTGAAGAGGGTAAAGGAATACGCGTTGTGGATATCTGGGAGAAGAGCATTCTAGGCAGAGGAAACAGCCAGTGCAAAGGCCCTGAGGCAGGGCAGACCGGCAGCTTCATGGAACAGTAGGAAGGTCAGCATGGCTGGAGCAGAGTGGCGAAGGGGAGTGAGTGGGGAGGAGGAGGTCAGGGAGGTGGCAACGGCAGATCAGGAGGGGCCTCGTATGCCACTGTGGGGACTCTGCCTTTTACCAAGCATGAAGGGAACCCCTGCCTTTGAGCCAAGGAACAACACAATCTGACTTCATTGTGCTGTGTGCGGAACAGACTTGGGGGGCACAGGTGGGCCTAGGGAGACCAGTGATGCCCAGCCTCTAGGGGGCGGGGATGGCAATGGAGGTGGCGAGAAGTGGTCGGCCAAATGGATTTCCTGTTGGGTTAGAGGATTTGGAAGTATCTGAGGGGGAGGCCATCAGGTGGGGTGGGAGTGTCCAGAGGTTTGTGTCTCTGCTCTCTGCAGCCTTGGGGTGCTGTTGGAGTGGAGGGGGTAAATCCCGTGGCTCGGCCCCCTCCCCCCCATCCTCCCTCTTTTGTCTGTCTTCTGTCCCGGGATCCACGTGAGGTCTGCGGAGAGGGCTCTGCCACTCAAACCAAGTTCAACAGCCATGGCTCTGCTCCAACCCCCTCATGTTACAGATGGGGAGACTGAGGCTGGGGGATGATGTGCCCACGGTGGGTCACAGGGGAATCACTGGAGAGCTGGGACGGAGCCCAGGCTGCCCGGTGCCCAGCCAGGCTGGTCTCCTGGCCAGTGGCAGCCCCACCCCCGCCGCTCCCCAATCCAGCTGCTGGAGGGTGCTGTGTGCCTCGCCTGGCAGCCCCAGCCCACGACCCCACTGTGGTCTCTCTCCTGAGCCCCTGCACCCTTGCGTCTCTCTTTTCTCTGCCAGTGATGTGCCCAAGGGTGCCGAGACCTTTGGGGTCTCTGAGAGCTCCGGGGTGAGGGTCTTCGTGGCCTACGACCCAGAGCAGGTGACAGTGCCAACAGGCCAGGCCCGCTGGCCCCTGGACGCCAGCGTGGATGTGATTGTATCCGTGGACACAGCCAGTAAGGACGTAAATGATCTCAAGGTAAGAGGCCACTTCCCCACAGTAAGGGGCTGCACCTCCCCACCCCACCCCCACCCAAGCTAAGAGCCTCCCCCAAAGCATGCCCCCATTCGTATATCACCCCCACTCCACCAAACCCCACAAGCTTTTGACACCTACATCCACACAACACACCCTGATACAACTCCACAGACACCTAACTCGCAAACCCACCCAACACCGCAGCATCGCATATACACACACGAATGAACACTCCCGTAAAGACACAGCTGCCCACACCCCCTCAAATTCACAAACACCCCACGTTAATCCCTGTTCTCAACCTACACACAGACCCCACAAGAGAAGCCCCCCGCTCTCACGTAGACAGGACTCCATAGCAACGCCCCGTGCACACACACGCTCGCACGCAGACACGCGTACATCCCTGGGTGTGTATGTCTTTCATACCTAAGGAAGAAGGAAGCCTTCTCCTGCACAGATCACACCCTCCTCGCTCCCCCCAGGCACCCACGACACACAGTGACCCAGTGATTCCTTGACTTGGCCCTTTCTCCCCTGGCAGGGAAGAGGCGGGGACTGTGCAGCGTTGAGAGCAGGGGCCCTGGAGCCCGCCATGGGCTCAGATCCCACCTCCTCTGCTTACTGGCTCCGGGCCTGCAGGCAGGGCCCCCAGTGGCCTCATTATGAACAGGCCGGTCTACTGGGGCCGTCCTGGGGGCTCACTGAGATGGCCTGGGTGGAGCACTTGGCATGGGTTCTGGACCACGGGAAAAGCTCCGTGACCACTGGCTGTTATTGTGTGTGTGTGGGGGGTCATTGTTCCCATTTTGTAGACGAAGAAACAGAGGCCCAGAAAGTTAAGGAACTTGCCTAAGTCAATGGCGACAGCTGCCCCTTCCCTTTCTTTCTTTCTGACATCCCCATGGAGTCCCAGGATCCAGCTGCTCCTCTGGGATCCGCCCCACCCCACCCAGCCTTCCTTGCTCCTCAGCCCAGCCCTGGAAGCCAGGGAGGCGTCCACAGCCTCTCCAGCTGGAGAAGGCAGCTCCGAGTCCCAGCTGGGAGCCCATGAGTCTGGGACCTTCAGCAGCGGGGAGGACCTGGGGGTCCCCTGCCTCCCCCGCCTCCAAACAGGGCTGTGGGGGGTGCGGGACGCACCCACCCCCCGTCACTGCCATCTCTGAAGGGGCCGTGCTGGCTTAGGGCTGATGATGTCCCCACAGGTGAAGGTCTCCTACTTCGGGGAGCACGAGGGCGACGCCCTGGGCCACAGCGTGCTCCACCTCACGGGCGTCGGTAAGTGCCCCTCCCTGGCTCTCCGTGTGTCTTCCCTCCTCTCCATGTTGGCCGTTTGAGGGTCTTAGGTGAGCCCCCCAGTGCAAGGCCCATGGCCAGCTTCCTCCACTATCAAGGAGCTTGGCTTCTTCAGAGAGCTTCCATCCACTCTAGAACCCGGGGATGGGGACCCGGCAACACTGAGGGCCACAAGAATCTAGAAACTGCACTGCCTGTGGGTCAACAGCTAGACCCACAGTAGGCCTCTTTCATCCGGAGTCCCGCCTGCCATGCTCACGGGAACGCCAAGACTCATCGCTAAACGTGGGAGAGCCATGCACCCCTGTGGCCAGGGCCCCGGGAACTGCGGAACCAGCACCTAGAAGCTCAGGCCTAGACCCCAACCACCAGGGTCAGGGCCACCGAGAGCTAGCAGTTCAGCTCAAGTAGATGAGCAGGAAACTCGAGAGCCGAAGACCTGGGTCCCACCAGCACGCAGAACCCCAGGGAGATGCCACAAGGGCTCCCGGGCTGGGGCGTGGTCCCCGGAACAGGGCTTCTGCTCTCATGGGCTCGGGGGGCAGAGCTTGCCCCTCCCTGGACACGATGGGTGTGAAGATGGGACTGGGGAGCCCCTGGCAGCCCCTCTCCATCCCTTTTCAGACATCTCCCTCGACGTCGACACGGGCCGCACGGGCAAGGTGAAGAGGAGCCAAGGTGACAAGGTGAGAATCTCCTGGCTACCCCCGGATGGCAGGGTTGACAGGCAACCTGGGGATGGTCCTGGGGTAGTCCTCCAGAAGGGTGACAGATTCCTAGGGTCTGTGGTATCCAACAGTGTAGGAAACCCATCTTGGGAACTGCCAAATTGGCACGAGTGGGCATTAACTTACACCGTGTGAGCGATGTGCTGTGTGACTCCTGTAAAACAGGTTGCCCTCTCTGAGTCTCTCTTGTGCCACCTTGGAATTGGGATGGGTTCTTTCCCTTGGTGCCTTTTCTATCACCTGGGCTGTATTTGGACCCTCAAACGTGGTAGGTGCTTCATTAAAGGTCGTTGGGTGACTGAATGAAGGCTAGGAGAAGATAAGGCTTCTGGTAGAAGAGGCTGGGTGGGTGGCCCCAGTCAGATCCTGAAGAATGAGGAGGAGACTGGGGTGGGCTCAAGGCGTTACCACACAGGAAGTATCTGGAAGCTGTCCTGGGAGGGGTAGAAGGTATAGTTTTTAGGGAAAGACCCCAGAGATGAAGCCTGGATCACAAGGCTTTGAGGACAAGATGGGGCAGGGCTGCCATGGGTGGCTGTGCAGGTTGTTCACTGTACAAAGTGGTGAGTGGGGGCTATGATACAAATCACATCTTGGTCCCTGGTGCAGGGCAGCATTTACCCAGTGGGGTGGATGAGAGTGCCACATAGGTTAGCAGTGGCCCTGTGCAGTCCCCCAGACCTGAGTTGGAATCCCAGCTATGTGACTTGGGGCTCACTTCCCAGAGCCTTTCTTCCCTCTTCCATGAAATGGGGAAAGTGAGCCCTGCTTTGCAGGGTCTGGTGGGCACAAAGTGGAGGCGCGGCGGGGAGAGCTGCAATCACAGAGGGAAGGTCCAGCTCTGAGCTCAGACCTCCTTGTGGGGCCCTCAGGACTGTGAGTGGACATCAGAGATGCCTGTGGGCCAGGCCCCAGGAGAGCGCTGGAGTGGGGAGAGTCTCCCAGGGATTCTGCAGCCCCATCAACGTCAGGGCAAGGCAGCCTCTGTCCCCCAGGCAGGGCCAAAGCTCAGCAGGCTGGTGAAGGCCATTTCTAGGTATGGTGACATCACCCTTCCTCTTCCAGTGTGGTAGTTGGGTGTATATGGTTGCACAGGTTGTTCACTGCACAAGACTGGGGCGGCTCTGGGTCTAGAGGCTTGGAGCTCCAGTCCCCAAATCTATGATCCCTCTTTAAGTCTTTAAGCAAACTCAGAATACAAAAGTCTCCAAGTTAACAAAGCGGCCCGCCCTAGCCACGTCCACACCTCCTTCCCAGAGCCCCCTGGGTCCCACTGACCCCAAAGCCACTTGTCTGCCACAGAAAACCTGGCGCTGGGGCCCTGAGGGCTATGGGGCTGTCCTGCTGGTGAACTGTGACCGAGATAGTCCCAGGTCTAGGGGGCTCGACCTCGCCAACAGGCAGCTGATGTCGCTGGATGGTGAGTGACAGAAGGGGTGTGTGGGGTAGTCCAGGGTGATGGTGTGGGGCGGTAGAAAGCTGGGGGGGTGGGGGGGCCTGTCGGTGGGGTGGAGGGAGGATCATCTCACGGGTGCCACTCTCTCCAGACCTGCAGGACATGTCCCCGATGGTGCTGAGCTGTGACGGCCCAGACAAGCTCTTCGACAGCCACAAGCTGGTCTTGAACGTGCCATTTTCTGATGCCAAGAGAGTGCGGGTCTTCTGTGCTAGGGGTGAGTGGCCTGGCGGGGCGTCTTCCCTCCCCGCTCCATCCTCGGCCTCCCGAGCTCTCTCTTTCTTCTCTTACCCGCTTCTCTCCCTTCCTTCCACCATTTTTTCATAATCTCACTACAGCTGGCAATTGGCCACCCCATCAGCACACAACACATCACCTGAGAGGGAGGTTCGAAAACTAGTCCTATTTTACAGAGGGGGAAACTGAGGCTTGGATGCACGAATTCACTGTCTTAAGCTCACAAAACCAGCTGGGGGTGGAGCAGGCATTCAAACCCGGGTTTCTTGAGCGCCAAACCCCTCCTCTCTCTACTGCCCGCCTTGCCCCCACCCTCTGGTCCTTCAGCGTGGAATGGGCCCCCGAGGCAGGCCAAGCACTGCCAGGCTGGGTGAGGCGGGGGCAGGAACAGAGAAGCTGAGGTCCAGGTCTGCTCTCAGATCCCGGCTGCTCTGCCAGAGATTTTATTCATCAAAGTCTGTGGCTTAAAAAAAATATACCGATGCTTAACCCTCAGGTGCCCTCACTCATTTTTATAAATACCAAGAGGCTTCTCCTGCCCCTTACTCCTTCCTCTTCACCCTCCTCTGTTCAAACTGACCCAGAACTTGTTGTTCTGGCGGAAGCAGTCTGGCAGGAGCTAGAAGGTTCCTTCCCGTGCACGGATGGTGGAAGTTCGGGCAGAGGCCTGACTTGAAGATGCTCACTGTGATACCAGAACACATGCAAAGTCCCAGTGAGTGAACTCACAGCCTTTCCTGCTGTGACCGAGAACGTGCCGGGGTGACATTTCCCAGAAGCCCTCAGGGAGGAGGGAAGAGGGCTGGGCAGAACTGCTACGTGCCAGGCGGTTTTTAAAATAAATGGAGGTGAAATTCACATAACATAAAATTAACCATTTTAAAGTGAACAGTTCAGTGGCGTCGAGTACGTTCTCAATGTTGTGCAACCACCACCTCTATCTAGTTCCAAGACATTTTCATCTTCCCCCAAATACATCCCTGTCTCCACTGTCAGTCCCTCCCATCCCCCGCCCCCCCCAGCCCTAGGCAACCACTAATCTGCTTTCTGTCCCTACGGATTTGCCTATTTTGGACATTTCATATAAATGGAATCATAGTATACGTGGCCTTTTGTATCTGGCTTCTTTCACTTGTAATGTTTTTAAGGTTCATCCATGTTGTAGCATGTATCAATACTTTATTCCTTTTTATGGATGAATAATATTCCATTGTATGGATATACCACATTTTGTTTATCCATTCATCCATTGATGGATATTTTGGGTTTTTTTCACCTTTCATGCCAGCTGCTTTTATCTCCTTATCTGGTTTAAAGCTTACACCAACCTCGTGAGATATGTAATTTAGCCCATTTTACAGATGAGGAACTGAGGCTCAGAGAGGTTGAGTCACTGAGCCAAGGTCACACAGCTTGCACACAGCAGAGCTGGAGAGGAGCCCAAGTAGATCTAACACGAAAGTGGCTCTGCCCCTGGATTCCCGTCCTCAGGTTTCCTGTCCTCCTGTCCTCACAGCCACACACCCCTGTTCCAGCACTGTCCCCTGACACTGGTTCCCCCTAGGTGGCAATTCCCTCTCAGACTACAAGCAAGTGCTGGGGCCCCAGCGTCGGTCCTACGAAGTCAAGCGGCAGGCGGGGGAGCGGCAGATCAGCTTCTACGTGGAGGGGCTCACCTTCCCCGACGCTAATTTCCTGGGGCTGGTCTCCCTCAGCGTCAGCCTGGTGGACACCAGGGTATGTACAGTGTTGGGGGCTGGGATGCGGGCGGAGGGCTTGGGGGACCAGTTTGGAGGCTCCAGGGCTGGGCAGGCTGGGGGCTGGGGGTCTTGAGGCCTGATGGGGCTCCCTGCAGGGCCCACTGAGTCCTCATTTTCCCCCCAGACCCTGCCTGAGGTGCCCCTCTTCACAGACAGCGTGGCCTTCCGCGTGGCTCCCTGGATCATGACCCCCAACACCCAGCTCCCCCTGGAGCTGTATGTGTGCAGGTGAGGCCTCACCTCCCCGCGGCTCTCCCACCATCTCTGGACTCCTAGAGTCAGGAGGAGAACACTGTGTCTGGGGCTGGCCCCTCACTCAGACCAGACGGATTCATGGAGGGCACCCACGGCACGGGCCAGGTGCAGGACAGCAGCGGGCTGCTTAGGCCTGTCCCCTCCCTGCCCCGAGCAGCTAAGGCCCCACCCGAGGTCACTGGCTCAGGCTCCAGGGCCCCTGCCCCTGCCCTGTCCTGCTTGCAGCAGCCTCGGAGCATCTCGGGTTTAGCTTGGGCCATGGGACCAGGCCCTGTTCAGGCTGCTGGTGGCTGCAGGAGACCTAGCCCAGCCCTGACGTGGGGGTGCTCCTGGGCCTGCAGAGAACACGGCAACCAGCCTCCAGGATCCTCTGTGAGCCCTGGCCCAGCCCAGGTCCCCGGTCCTTCTGTCATCTCTCAGAATCCTTGTCAGGCCCCTTGATGGCCGGGTGAGGCTCGACTGACATGGCCACTCCAGGCTCCTGGATCAGAGGTCAGACCACAGTTGACGTGGAACATAAGTCAAAAGGCCGGGAAGGGTGTGGCCAAACAGGTTTGCTCTGCTCACCTGGGTCCAGGTGCGTGCAGGTGTTCAGAAGGGAATTCTTTCTTTCTTCTTGCTCACAACCCCACCCTGACTCCTCTCTTTAGGCCAGTTGTGCGGGACAGGAGTAGACGGGGCTACCTGCCCCCTCACTACCACCTTAACCAGTGAGATTCAGTCCCCAGGTCACCTCCTCCAGGGCTGCCCCTCCTGGCCTCGGTGTCCTGCCTCTGGGCCCTTGGCTGGCCCCTCACCTTGGATCTGCCACCTGATGTGATCTGGGGACGTATCTGTCTGTGTCATTAGCCCACGAGCCTCTCTAGGGCAGGGACTGTGTTTGAACCCCTGTCCGCAAGGGTCACACAGGGCCCAGCACAGACCAGATCAAGGCGCCCCCAGCCATGCCCCCACCTCCGGGCCCTGAGGCCAAGGCCACAGTCAGAGGTCATTGTCATGCTCCCTCTCCATGTGTTTTGCAGAGTGATAGACTCTCATGGCTCAAATGACAAATTTCTGGGTGATGTGTCTGACCTGGCACTGAAAGCCAACTGCAAGCTGATCATCTGCCCTTGGATTGAAAATCGAAATGACCGCTGGATCCAGGTGGGTGTGGGAGCAGACCCTGCAAAGAGTGCGGGCCGCCCGGGGGGGCCTGAGCCGCCCTCCTTCAGCCCGGCTTTGGGTAGGGGGCCTGCACGGGTTCCCAGAGGACCTCAGTCTCCCTCTCCCGAGAGAAGCCAGGCCAGCCTGGGGATCGGGACTCGGCGGGGGGCGGGGGTGCCATGCGGCTTAAGGGAACGCTTCCCTGCTGCCTGCATCACCTGGTCTCTCTCGCTTCCCCCCAGATGCTCTGGTCCCAGACAGAACCCGCTTCCGGCTGAGGTCCCAAGAGGCCTCACTTCCACCTCCTCCTCACCCTGGCCCCCTCCCCAGGTCTTGGGGAGGATCTGCGGCACCCCCGCCGCCCCAGGCCTGGGGCATCCCCCGTTCTGAAAACCACACGCACAGAGGAGGTCACTGTGGTCCTTTCCTCTCCCTCCCAGGACGAGATGGAGTTTGGCTACATCGAGGCCCCTCACAAATCCTTCCCGGTGGTCTTTGACTCCCCCCGAGACAGAGGCCTGAAGGACTTCCCCTATGAGAGGATCCTGGTATGTGGCAAAGGGCAGAGTGGGGAACCTTTGGGTGGCTCCTCCTGTAGGACCCCCCATCAGTCTTGCCTGGTCCTGGTCCTTTAAGGGGGCAAAAGGACACAGGCGGTGGGATCTGGTGGGATCCACAGAATATGTAAACGATATGCAAATCACATACAAATTGCCCCCATAGGGAAGGGCAGGCCAGCAAAGTCTTCCTGGGGGAGGGTTGGGGTGAGGGGGGAGCTTCTCCTCCAAGGGGGATTCAACAGAGGGGTCCGCCCTGGGGAGACCAAACTGCCTTTTGGAGGGAATGCTCCTCATGGCTCTTACTTTTATGAGCTGGGGCCTCTCTTCAGGTAACAAATGCTTTCTGAAGACCTACTGTGTGCCAGGCACTCCACTGCCTCTTATGCACAGAAGGGCCACCAGAGCAGCTCCAGCATCTGTGTGCTGACTCCCAGGCACTCCCCCTGGAGTGACACGGTTGCTCATTTAATCCATGTAGCACTGTTATGGATAACTGCTATTATTATTCCTTCTTTACTGAGGCTCAGAGAGGTTAAGTAACTCCCCCAAGGCCACGCAGCTAGTTAGTGGTGGCATCAAGATGCAAAACCAGAGGGGCTGCCTCCCCAGCCCCTGCGCTTAACCACTAAGCTAAACTGCCTTTCAAGGTGGGCCTGGGTCTCGAAGCTCACCATCTCTGCCTGTTTACCGATTCCCACTCCCCCACCGCCTGGACAATGCCAGTGTCCGGGTAGGGGCTGCGATGGGGAAGTCCGGGAGCTTGCGGGCTTTCACCCCAGCCTGGAGGGGTCAGGGACGAGTCCCAGCGCAGGTGACAATGACCCCAAGCCCTGGGCTTGACCTGGTCGGAGCATTTTTCACTGATTTCTGCTCTTATCTTCATCATTTCCTTCCTTCTACTTTTTTTTTAATTGAGATATAATTTACATATAACATTATATTAGTTTCAGGTGTACAGTGTAACAATTCGATGTAGGTATACACTGTGAGATGATCACCATGCTAAGTCTAGTTAACATCCATCACCACACATGGTTACACATTTTTGTCTTGTGATGAGAACTTTTAAGATCTACTCTCTTAGCAACTTTCAGACAAACAATACAGTATCATTAATTATAGTCCCCATGCTGTGCATTACATCCCCAGGACTTATTTATCTCATAACTGGAAGCTTGTACCTTTTGACCCCCTTCACCCACTCCCCACCCTCTGCCCCTGGCAACCACCAATCTGTTATCTGTATGTATGACTTCGGTTTTTAAAAAAATTCGTATTCCACATATAAGTGAGATCATACAGTATTTGTCTTTCTCTGACTTATTTCCTTAGCATAATGCCCTCAAGGTCCATCCACGTTGTTACAAATGGCGGGATTTCCTTCTTTTTTATGGCTGAGTAGTATTCCATTGTATATATATACGCCACATCCTCTTTATCCATTCATCAGTCAGTGGTCACTCGGGTTGTTTCCATGTCTTGGCGATTGTGCGTAATGCTGCTGTGAACATGGGCATGCAAATATCTCTTCAATTATTTTTCCTTCCTTCTACTTTTTTTCAGTTTAATTCGCCATTCTTTTCCTAGCTGGAAACGGAAGCTACGATGTTTCAACTCTTTTTCTTCCTGATATATGTGTTTAGAGCGACAGAAATTCCTTGGACGTGCAGCTTCACTAGCATCCCACAAGTTTTAATGTGCTGTATTTTTATTACCTTTCCCTTCAAAATACTGTCTAATTTCCACTTTGATTTCTTCTTTGACCTGTGGGTTCTTTAGAAGCGTGTTGCCTAATTTCCCAATATTTGGGGATTTTCTAGTTATTGTTCTGTTATTGGCGGGGACTTTAATTGCACGGTGCTCAGAGAACGGGGGGTTTGGGAAAGTGGATAGAGGTTGTTTTTCGGGGGGGGGTCCCCTGGCATCACCCGCCCCCCACCAAGAGCTGTCTCTTCCTTCCTAACTGACCCCTCCTTCGGGGGGGGTCTTGCCGGTCCTCCCCTAGGGTCCTGACTTTGGATATGTCACCAGGGAGATCCTGTTGTCTGGCGCCTCCGGCCTCGACTCCTTCGGCAACCTCGATGTCAGCCCGCCGGTGACGGTGGGCGGCAAGGAGTATCCCCTGGGCCGGATCCTCATCGGCAGCAACTTCCCCAAGTGAGAGGCCAGGGTGGAGGGTGGCGGGGGGCCTGGGGGACCCTCCAACTCCATCTCCACGAACACAGCTGTCCAGTCTGAGAAGTGGCCTTAATTCCCCACGTGGAAGCCTAGAATCAAAGACTCAGAGTCCTAGAATCTTAGATTTTAAAGGTCCCAGAATCTTAGGAGAAAACTCACAACCAGTGGCCCACGGTCTTTTGGCCTGCCTGGTATTTTATGAGCTTAATTAGTCACCAACATTTTATATATCTATCTCAGGAGGTCTCATGTAACCAGATGTCTGGTTCTTTTGAAAAATCAGAAGAGCTGGGGAGGTGATGTGCCACCTGGAGAAGAGGTAGGAGATGGACCTGTTGACTTCTCCCCAAACAGCTGCAGTCCTAGCAACAGCTTGAAAGGGCCCAGAGGCACCAGGTGGCTGCAGGTGAGCGAGTGGCTGGTCAGGATACCGGGGTGACAGAGGTGACTCAGTGGGTCCCACCCGGGATAGCTGTCATCAGGCAGGAAACAAGGTATTTAGGATTTAGTGTGCAGACAGGTGACAGTGTCGGCTAAATCCCGCTGGACGGGTCCCCACCCCGCCTCCAGGCAACCAAAGAATGGGGTGTGCGGCCAGGTATCCTGGTGGGGTCCCCGGCTTCCTGCCTGAGATTATGCCCGCCACAGTACCGGAGGCCACCTTCTCATTTGTGTGGGGTTGGCATGGAGCCCAGGCATGCCCCAGCTTGTCCCCCAAGCCCTGGCTGACCACCTGGTCTTGGACCCAGAGCAGCCAGGCAGCCCTGGGAGGGTCACCCAACCTCAAGTGGTGACCCTGGTGGCCTCAGGGCTCTGGGTCAGGTGAGGCGAGGGCTCCTGGCACCAACCCCAGGTATGTAGCTGGGTGCCTGGGCTGGGTGCCTGGGGCTGAGGTTGGCCAGGGCAAGAGGAATGTGCTCACCTTGCTGGTGACTCACGCCCAGCTGCTACTGTGGGGCTGGATTCCACCCCCAGCCCCGGGGGCGGAAGGGCCTCGGGGCCTCCGGGCAGTTATTCTGTGGGGAGGGGCCTGGCAGCACAGGCTTTAGAATCAGGTGGACTTGGGTTCGAGTCCTGGCTCGAACACTGGACAAAAGTTACTGATCACCCACCGTGTGCCACGAGCAGAACGCTTTGCCAGGTTACCTCTGTTATTCTTACCACCGCCCTGTGAGGTGGGGACTGTTATCCCCATTCGACGGACGAGGAAGCTGAGGCTGAGAAAAGTGAAGTGAATGCACTCATTCGCGCATTCGTTTACCAATTCAATAAGGATTTATTGAGACTTCCCTTACGCCAGGCCTGGGGCCCGGTGCTGGGGGTGAAAGAAATGTTCTAGAAGCTCCCAGGCTCAGAGCAAGGACCCAGGATGGGAACGTGTGGGGTCTTTGGTGCAGCTGAGCCCCACTCCATCAGCCATGGGGTTGAAAACCAGGAAGAAGGCCCTTGGTGGACAGGTGGGGCCCTGGCGGTCAGAGAGGGGCAGCTACCACTTAGGACCACACAGCAAGTCAGTGGTATAGTCAGAGTCCAGGTCTCCTCCTTGAGCCCCAAACTAAAATTTAACACCAGGCACTGTCCTGTGTTCCCATCTTGGCTTCTGATCCCAGCAGTGAACAAAACAGACAACCTACATACACTCTAGCAGGGAGAAACAGACAGTAAGCAAACATAATAAATAAGTAAATACTATGGCATTTTAGATAAAGGAAGCCTTGGTGAGAAGCTGACATTTAAACAAAGCCCTGAAGGAAATGAGGGAGTTAAAAGATGTGGTTTTTGGGGAGGCAAGTGTGCAAGGGAGTGGAAACAGCCAGTACAAAGGCCCTGAGGCAGGAGTGTGACAGAGACACTAGAGGAACAGCAAGGAGGCCGGTGCGGCTGGAGCAGAGTGAGCAAGGAGGGGCATGGGGGAGGATGAGGTCAGAGAGCTCGGCAGGGCAGAGTTCAGATCATGACCTGGACCTGTTCTTTGTGCTATCATAGGGTTCTCATGCGGATTCAACAAGATACTTAGTGTGAGGAGCCTCAGGCAGGCACACAGTAGGTGCTCAACAAAGGCCCCGTCCATTCTCTGCTATCTTGGGTTCTCCACGTTCTGCTCCTCACGTTTAACACGATGTTTGAGCAATTGTGCCTCCTGGTGGCGGCTTTGATGTGACTCAGAGACCAGATCCGACGCCTCCCAGGGCTGGAGTCACCTGGTCCATGCCCCGGCCTCCAGGCAGAGGACTCGGCCCCTTCCTCAACCTTACGTGTTTCTGATTCCTGCCACTTTCTGCTCACGAACAATTTCTGAAGCCCAGCTCTTCTCCACCATCTCACTGTTTTTAAGAAGTCTTTTAAAATTGCAGGCTCTATATTAAAATAACAGAAAGACTAGAAAAATATTTTCCACGATCCCATCCCCAAAATCGAATCAGTGTTGTTGTGTGTCACTGCTTGTCAAGGCTCGCTTCTAGTCTTCGTCTGTGACGTATTCGAGTCACATAGACCCTGGACGTTAGACAGCTGTTCAAAAGCGTCAATATCATTCACAAATATTTTTCGAGCCTCTATTAGGTAAGAGGTGCAGGGGATACAGCAGTGAACCCAGGTCCTCCTGGAGCTTACATTCTAGAGGGATGCCAGATGATCAATAAGATATCAAGTATGCCAAATAGTACCAACTGCTGTAGAGAAAAATGAAGCTGGGAAGAAGATTGTTGCAATTTTCAAAGGCCTCATAAATAAAGAAGGTGACATTTGAGTCAAACCTGGGGAAAGTGAGGGAGTGAGCCGTGGGGATATGGGGAGTGGGCAACAATTCCTGGTAGCGAGAACAGCAAGTGCAAAGGCCCTGAGGCAGGGATGTGCCTGGTAGGTTCAAGGGACAGTGAGGAGACCAGCATGGTGGAAACTGAGGGAATGAAGAGGAGAGTGGCAGGAGGGGGTCGTAGGGATTGGGAGGGGCCATGCGGGTCACTGTGAGGACTTTGCAGTTACGGTGAGTGAGATGGGAGTGCTGTGAGGGTTTTGACCAGAGGAGGGACATGATCTGACATGTTTAAAAGGCTCCCTCTGCTTAGACTGCAGGGGAGCAACGGTGAAAGCAGAGAGAGGGGGAAAGGGACAAGCCACTGGGATTGTTCAGGTGAGGTGTTGCTAGCCAGGTGGTGGCAGAGGAGGACGGGAAGGAAGGGCTGGACTGTGTTCTGTTCAAGGTAGAACCACCAGATTGGATGTGGGCCAGGGAACTCGTCCATGATGTGTCCCTAAGGCAAATAAGCAAGGACAAGAAATGTGAGCCCTTTGTTGTAAAACATATTGAAAAAAATCTCTATACAGAGAGTAAACGTGTGTGTGTTCGCACATGGTTTTGTGTGCCAGGGAAAGGTGGAGAATGCCCAGAGTATAACACTGTTCTGACTTTGGGCAAGTCACCCCCTTGAACTTTCTAGGCCTCAGCGGCCTCATCTGTGAAATGGGGACACGGCTCTACCTAAGGCAGAGTCCCGCATGCACAGTCTCCTCCCACAGCTCCAGGACACCAGCTCCCGCTCCCGCTCCCTGGTCTGGGCCACCTCAGTCCCGCCCTCCTCCCCTCCCTCTGCTGATAAACAGTGGTCTGAAAATGCCCAGCCCGCATTCAGGAGCAGCTGGGGCTCAGACAGCCAGCGCTGAGCACGGGATGCCCGGGGCAGAGGTTCTCTCGCGCACGAATCAGCTGGGATGCTTGTCAAAGTGCAGATTCCACATCCTCGATGCGCCACATCCTCAAAGACTCTGAGATGTGGAGAATGTCAGGAAACGCTCATTTTAAACAAGCCCCGATTCTGACCCCAGCTGGTCCAGCCCCCACACTTTGGGAAAACACTGGACTGAGCGAGGGGCTCACGGTCCCGGTCAATTTTGAACAAAAGGCTGGGTGCCCTGGGTAAAGAGTCCACCTCGCTGAGTCCGGGGATGTGAGGTGAGAGGTTCCAGTTCCGGGGGGCGAGTGGAGTCCTGTGACTCTTTTTTTGGGAGAAGGGCAGTCAAGGCCTTCCTGGCCTTGGGGAGGATGCTTCAGGGTGAGGGAGGGATGGACTCTCTGGGATGATGTTCAGGATGGACAGTGAGTTCCTGGGAGCACCTGGGGCTGGGGCCGGGAAATGGGGACAACAGAGGACCCATTCAGAGGGTTGTCGTGGGGCTTGAACAGGGGGCGGGAGCTCGAGAAGGGCCTGCAGGGAACCAGCGCACAGGAGGCCCGAGGTGACGGCCGCTCTCTCCCTCCCCGGGGCACCAGGTCCGGCGGGAGGCGCATGGCCAGGGTGGTGCGCGACTTCCTGAGCGCCCAGCAGGTGCAGGCGCCCGTGGAGCTCTACTCCGACTGGCTCTCCGTGGGCCACGTGGACGAGTTCCTGAGCTTCGTGCCCGCCTCAGACCAGAAGGTACATCCCCTCTCCCCCTGCCTGAACCACCTCTGCCCCTCTGTGACCTGATGGGATGGGACAGGGCAAAGCCACCTGGAACCAGCTCACCACCTGTGCCCATAGTGAGCTTGGAGTTGGGGCACCCTTGGGGCCAGGTGGTGTTAATCAGGGGGGCTTCCTGGAGGAGGTCAGAGTTCAGCTCAGGAGGACACTCATTCGCTTACAACTTATACACTCATTCTCACTGGTGTTTGCACTGATCCAAACCCCTCAGCCCAGACCTAAGCATGACCCTGGTGATAACTGGTAACACTGACTAAGCACCTACTGTGTGTACATGTTTTAATTCATTTAATCCTCCAACAACCCCATGAAGTGGGTACTACTATCATTGCCCCCATTTTCCAGATGAGGAAACAGATGAGGCTCAGAAGGGCAATTAACTCACCCGAGGTCACATAGCCTGCGGGTGGTAGGGGAAGCTTCACACCCAGACAGTGGGCTCTGGACCAGCATGCTAACCACGCGGCTTGACCGCCTCACGGTTGTGGCCGGGGAGGCCAGGGTCCCCAGTGAGCAAGCCGCCTGGGAGGGGAGGCTGAGTTCCCTGTGCTCAAGGTGGGGAAGGGCCTCCAGGCAGGGGGAACAGCGTGGACAAAGGCCTGGAGCTGTGAATCAGCTTGGAGGATTGGGGGAATTGCAGCTAGTTCTTTGTGGCTGGTGGGTGGGATTGAGGGGGAGAGGGCTCCCATGCGCGGTCTGGCCCCTCCTGAGTTTGGGGTCTCCCGCATCTAGGGGGCACCTGTCCACTGAGCCATTCTCCCTCCCTCTGTGCAGGGCTTCCGGCTGCTCCTGGCTAGCCCCAGCGCTTGCCTCCGACTGTTCCAGGAGAAGAAAGAGCAGGGCTACGGGGACGCGGCCCAGTTTGATGGTGAGCCCATGACCCGGTCATCCCGTGGGGACCATGCCCCCTCATTGCCAGCCCTCTCATGACAGTGCCGTGTTTACAGGCCTTTGTCTGCACATCTCTCAGCTCAGAGCCCGACATCGCTAATTCTCCCGACACCCTCCGTGGGAGCTAAGGACGAGGGCTCTCCCTCTCTTGGGCCTGGGATGGGAAGCTGAGATGATCACCCCAGGCACCCAAGGGGTGACCTCCTCGTACAGTGGGCGGTTCCTGGCCCCACCCCAGGAGAGGAGGGGAACAGGAGGCCATGGGCACTCCCACAAGCTGGTGTGTGCCAGGCACTTCCACGTCCTGCTCGTGGGGTGTCCCCCCCATTCCCTTCTCCCTTTTCACGGAGGAGGAAACAGGCTCAGAGAGGAGAAGCCGCTGGCCCAGGGCTATGCAGCAGGGCGCAGCGGGGCCAGGGGCTCAGCAGAGGCAGGGTCGGCGGTCAGGGCCCCTCTGTGGATCCTCCTCCAGGAAATGACAGACCCTCCAAGGACCTGGTGGCCCCGTTGAGCACCTCCCCCTCCCCACCACAGACCTTAGTGCTCTCACCTGAGAAACGGAGCATTGGGAGGGATGTGGCATAGCCTTTGGCCCAGATAGACCTGAATTCAAATCCTGATCAACAGTTGCTGGCTGTGAGATGAAAGGTGTTCTGAACCTCTCAGTGCCTAGGTTTCCCCTTCTCTGATTTGGAGTGATAGTTAACCCCACCTAGCATTGTTTTAAAGGTTAATAAAAAATTCAGTAGAGGGCCCAGAGCATGGCAGGTGTTCAATAATGGTAGCTTTACTGTAATTATTAGGCCCTGAGCCCAGGAGTCCCTTCCCAAAGAATCTGTGATCCATCACCAGGATTTACTTACAGCCAGAGCCTGGTCCCACCAGGGCTCCAGGTCTTGGGCTTCCTCCACCCCAGCTTCAGACCCTGGCATTGAGTGGGAGGAAAATCCTGGCCTGGATTGTGCAGCCCCAGACTCGGGGAGGCCCCAGTGGTGCTCCCTGAGCCCCCGTCCTGTCTTCTTTCTCCTGCAGGGCTGAAGCACCAGGCAAAGAGAAGCATTAATGAGATGCTGGCAGACAGACGCCTCAAGAAGGACAGTCTCCACGTACAGGTGAGGGGCGGGGCTGCTGCCCGCTCTTGGGGTCCCCCACCCTCCAGAGAGAAGCAGCCCCAGGAACTGCTGGGGGACAGGTGAGGGGTTCAGCCCTGGGCATCTGACTGTCCTGGAGGCTGCTGAGACTTGTGGGTAGGGTAGAGCCTCCGCCCTTGGGAACCCACAGTCTGATGGAAGAGACACAGCCATGCCAGTCTGATGAGGGAGGTCTTGCCCTGCTCTGGGGAAATGATTGGTTTCCGTGGAAGCAAAACTGAGATCTCCCCTGAGAAGTCTGGTGAGATGAGAGAGTGTGGTGGAGAAATGGGACCCTGTGGGGGTGAGGGCTGGGGTGGGTGGGAGTCCGGTGAGGAGAACGGGTAGAAGGAGGTCTCAGGAGGGGGCAGGGCTGCTGCCCAGTGCAGTGCCGGGTGCAGAGTCTGTGCTCAGTAAATGGGAGGAGGGAGGCCCTTAGCTGCTCCCCAGCGGTGCTGGCACTTTCTCCTAGGTTGCTGAGATGGGCAGGAGCGTAAGCCACGCTGAGATGGGACAGTGTCGTGTAGCCACGAGCACTTTTAGAACCAGAAACTGCCCGGGTCCAAACCCCAGCTCTGCCACTTCCTGGCTCTGTGCCCTCGTACAGGTCACTTGAGCCTCTGTTTCCCCCTCCGGGGGTAGCAATGGCACAAAGCTTTTGTGAGGACCCAAGGAGCTACAGGGGGCTCTGCGCAGGGCCCGGCACACAGTGGGGGCTCGGCGAGCGTTAGATCCTTCCTGATCCCTGGCTCCCCTCCCGCCCCAGAGCTGCATCGACTGGAACCGGGAGGTGCTGAAGCGGGAGCTGGGCCTGACGGAGCAGGACATCATCGACATCCCCCAGCTCTTCTCCCTGAAGGGCTCCTACGCAGAAGCCTCCTTCCCCGACATGGTGAGTGCTCTGGAGGGAGGATGGGCCATTTCCCGTCCCGGGGGGCCTGGCAGGGGCCTGCTGGGGGATAGCTGGGCTCCCAGAGGAGAAGCACTCCCTGGCCGAGGGCAGCCTGGCCCAGAGGCTGGGCGGGCCCTGCAGCCCTCCCCACTGTTTGTTTGCTTTTTGTGCAGATTTAGAACATCGCCATCAGTGGGCCTCCACCGGGGCGATTATGCCCCTCCCCCCAGGGCATTTGGATTGCCACCACAGCGGGGGTGCTCCTGGCATCTAGTGGGTGGAGGCCCGGGATGCTGCTAAACATCCTACAGGGCACAGGACAGGCCCCCACAACTAAGGCCTTTTCTTTTTCCCAAATGGAAAAAGGAAGCATGGTTTGGTTCCAAAAGTTTCGGGCTTCCGTTTCTGGGCCTCAGCGGCGCGCCCTGCTCCCCGGTGGGGCTCCTGAGTCGGGCAGGTGGGGCAGGTGGCGGCTGTCTCCCTGGCTGTCATTAACTCAGGCAGCTGACAGGAAGATGAGCAGCTTGTGATCTCACGGCTTGGCCCTGGGAGGGGCCTGAGCGATGCTATCAGTCCTGGTCAAGGTGCCCATTACCCTTGGGAAAGGACGCGGGGGTGCAGCAACCACGTGGCTAGCGGCTACTGTACTGGACAGTGAAGCTCTAAGGGGCGACATGGCTCTGGTTCTGGCTGAGGGTCGGGGGAGGCCCTGGGCCGGAACCCATGATTTTAGTCAGTCCTCCTGGGGCTGTGGGCATGGCCCCAGCTGCTGGAAGCCTCCTCCCCACCACACACCCCTCTGTGGGAATCTCCCAGTCCCAGCCCAGGCCCTGCTAGAGGATCCCAGTATGACCTAACTGGAAGGGCCCTTAGGGAACTCACAGTTAACCCCCTCTTTGGGGGTTAACAGATGGGGAAACTGAGGCCCTCAGAGGAGGGTGGTTGACTTGCCTGAGGTCCCCCAGCGAGTGAGTGGGCCGGCCTCCAGTCTCCTGAGTCCTCATCCAGGAGGAAGCAGGCCTGGGCTGGCGATGGTCCTGAATCCGGCTTCTGGCTCCTCTCCCCGCCCTTTGTCCCTCTGCACGCCCTGCTCCCACCCTAGCATGTTCTGGCCCATCAGTGGGCGACTAGGTAGCTCACAGCCGAGGCCATGGGACTGACCCCACGGGACCCTCCAGCTTCGTGTTGGCGTCAGCCTGGATGGCCTCGCAGGGCAGATTTGAAGGCATGGAGTGTGTGAGGGCACAGCGTCCAGGGCAGCCCACGTCACACCCAGATGACCCAGCCCCACCCTCCAGACAGGGAGTCCGAAACGTCTCCTTTGAAGACCAAGGGCAGCTGCTCTGGCCATCAATCCGGGGCTGAGGTTTCCTCTAAGGAACCTCCACACCCTGCACCAGGGAGACTTCCCTTCCCCACCATTAGGTCCCCCAGCCAGGGAAGCAGAGGGCCACCGGAGATAAACCCACGTGCCCCCCAAGGGCACCCAGCCCCAGCTCCTCAGCCCCCCAGGCACCACAGTGCTACACTCTGGCAGAGTATAAAGAGCACGGGTTTTGGCATGAGTCAGACCCAAAGCAAACTTTAGTCTCCCCCTTCTCTGGCTGTGTGGCCTTCACCATGTTTCTTAACCTGTCCAAGCCACGGCCTCAGAGGGAGGCTGTGAGGTTTAGTGATGATATATCTGGTACATAGACAATGCTCAATAAATGGAAACCATGATCAGGGCTTCCAGGGACAGTTGAGCAAGCTGTATACTGCACAAGTGCACCACACCTATGAGGACATTCACACTGTAGACTTTGTAGATGTGTGCATTTGTTATACACGTTTCTGGCAGATGATGGTAAAATCTTATTCTAAAGAAGTTGTTATAATATGACAATTTTCTGATAGATGGAAGAAAATATTGGAGGCATGGGTGACTTTAATTCATATAAAGTTGCCATGTATATTACATACTGGCAGCCCTACCTGGTACTAATCCTCTCTTCCAACTGTGAATCTACTTCTCCTCTGCTTCCATAGACCCTCATTCTGGAGCGAGCCCCAGCCCTGGCAGCCCAGGGATGCTGGCGAGGATGGGACAGGCCCTGGGGGTGGGTCTGCCTGAGCCAGGGCCCACGAGGGGCCCCCATGTGTAGAGCGTCTCCAGCCAGCCGGGCCTCCCTCTTGCCCTCTCTCTCCTACAGGTCAACATGGTGGTCTTAGGCAAGCACCTGGGCATCCCCAAGCCCTTCGGGCCCGTCATCGACGGCCGCTGCTGCCTGGAGGAGAAGGTGCGGTCCCTGCTGGAGCCGCTGGGCCTCCACTGCACCTTCATCGACGACTACTTGTCCTACCACAAGCTGCTCGGGGAGGTGCACTGCGGCACCAACGTGCGCCGGCAGCCCTTCTCCTTCAAGTGGTGGAACATGGTGCCCTGAGCCCGTCCCCACCCGCCTCCTCTCCGCCCACCTGCCAGGGACCCCCGCCCAGGGGAGGGCGAGGAACCTCCACCTGGCCTCCATCCTCTTGGGGGAGCCTCAGGCACTTCCCCCCGAGTGCCTGCAAACGTGCTGGCCACCGAGGGCACCGGGACACAGGGATGGACACGGCACATCCTCGCCTCTGGAGTGGTCTACCCAGCCTGAGAAGGACCGCCCTCGTTCTTCCCTCTCCTCTGCCCCATCCACTACGCCCGGAGCTTCTGGAAAAGATCGACATGGTCGGCGTGGCCTCTGCAGGTGCCCCACTTTGAACTGCTCCCCGTCTGTTCTGACACTCCACGTTTGCACCAGGAATGGGGCCCAGAGAGCCTGGACTCTGGGGTGAGGGCCCTGGGTCTAGGCCACTGGTGGCTCTTGTAGATCAGGAAGGGGACATGAGGCACCGTCTTTCTCCACCAGCTACCTTCCCCTGCGGGGGACCCCAGGCTGTGACCTCCCAGCAGCCCTCAGCCGTCTTTATGCAGGCGAACAAGGACAGAAAAACCCCGCGTCTGGGGGCCTGTTTAAAAAGGAAAGGCAACACAAACCCTTAGTACCTGACTCTGTCCTCAGAAGGGTGCTTGTTACCTGTTTGGAAAGCCTCTAATTACGAGTGCTGGCTGCTTCCCGCTTACAAACACTGGGAGGCCAAAATGAGGCCTGAGGAGGGCGGGCGTTGGGAGCCGGGCAGGAGGAGAGGAGGCCAGGAGGGCAGAGAAAGCCGAGGCACGAGGATGAAGCTGGGGCTGGCTCCTGCGTCCTAGCCTCCTGGGCATTGGATTTTGGACTCTGGATGTGAAGGGGGTTCCTGTAGCAGGGGGTGGGGCCCAGACGTTAGAAGAGGGTGGGGGCCATTAGCTTATCTCTGAAGGTGGGGTTTAATTTCCTGTAATAGTCTTTAATTATTCCCCTTCGCTCTGCAGGCAGTGGGAGGGGAAGGCTGGCGCGGTCTCTCTCAGCAACCCGGAGACCCTGCATGTAGCTTGGGTTTCGCCTGTGAGTAAACCCCGTGGCAGGCCTGTCCCCTCCCACAGAAGGGAAGACGGAGCTGCCACAGGGGTTAATAGCCTGACCCCGGGTGAGGTCACCGAGACGTGCACAGGCAGGCCGGCTCGGCCAGTGCAGGGCGAGCATGGGCAGGAGGGAGCCAGCCTGCCCTCCTCCCCCCACTGCCCGTGGGACCATCTCAGGGGCTGTCAGCCCCCGGGCCTCCACCATCTGAGTTTCTGGTGGCCCCTGGTGACACCTAGCCTGAGCCAGCTGCTGTGGAACTCAAACACAGAACACTTAGCTAACGGAGGCTTACCTGGAAACCCAACACATGAAACTGGTAAAAACGGAACTGCTCTGGTTTAAGGCGGTGGGGGCAGTGTACCTGGATCCTCCCCTTCCAGAAGGCTCTGTGGAACCCCATTCGCAAGCCCCTGGTCTACCCTGCACACTTTCTGCTCATAGTCATGAGGAAGCCTGGACTGAGCCAAGGGAGAGAAGAAAGCTCTTCGGGGGCCGAGGATGTGCCGGGACTCCCCAGGGAAAGGGCTGTGCGTGGAGCGGAGGGCACGCTGCAGAGAGAGGGGGAGGATGGCACTGAGTGTGGGAAGATGAGGAATTGCTGCTGAGGCTGTTGGGGGCCCTGATGTGCCCCGTGAGAATGTTCCGGGTGACTGGTCACCTCCTTTCTGATTAAAAAAATGTCAACAAGCATTTCTTCAAGTGGCTGCCCCCTTAGCTTCTCTTTGTTGGGCTGTGGGCAGGAGGGGTGGAAAGTGAGGGGGGTTCCACGCACCATGCCGCCAGCTCCTTGGCTCAACCCGGCCATGGGCAGCCCCCACCTGGCTGGGAGAGCCCCCAGGGCCGGGCAGCAGGCTGATTCAGCAGGATGGTTGGCACATGCCCACTGCCCTGAAGCCGGCTGCCCTGCTGAGGTGGTATCAGGGGAGGGGTGGGTCCTTCTCTTCATCTCTTCTCCTTCCCTGGACTATCTCCTCCATCTCTTGGAGGGAGGCGGGCTGGGTGCTATTGGCGGAGGCGGGAGATTCCCCAGTCAGGGCTGGTGCCCAGGGCCACAGGCCACGATTCACTTTCATTCCTGCCTCTAAAGCTGCTTAGTCTCCCAGCCTCAGTGGTCTGACTTCAGAGGCCTGAAAACATCACCACTCTCATCCTGCACACTTGCCGCTGCCTCGTGTTGCACCCTTTGACACTCACTCACTCACTCTTTCGCTTTATTTGTTGTAGACTAAGAGGCAAAAAGTTGCTGCCCATCAATCATTGACACTTTAGTCTGAATGAACCACAGACCTGCTTCTAAAAGCTAGTATTAACTGGGGAGAAGGCATAGATCTCCTTCTAAAGGGAGATACAGGGCTCTGAGTGGGAGGCTGGTCCTGTCCCCAGCACAGCGGGCCAGCACCCAGGGGGATGCGCCCCTCGTTGTGCATCTATTTCCCACCTGTGCTCACACCCGTGCAGGCTAGAGAAACGGTCTGGGGCTTCCTCCTGAGCCCTAACTCCTGCCCAGAGCTGAGTGAGCCTCCAAGCCATTTTACAACCAAAACAGTGAAGCTCTCCTTGCACCCGGCAGCCCAGCGGCTCTCCTTGAGAAGAACTTCCTTTCTGGAAGCTGGGATGGAGGAGCACAGTCTTAGAGTCCTGTTGAGATCCCTGAACTGCAAGTGCACCAGTTGGGGCCTCTGGGGAGCCGGTCCTGGTTCCTGCCCTGCCTCGGACTGTCAGCATCAACAGGGGGAAGGGAGGAAACCTCTATTCAGCACCTTCTGAGCCTCGCTGGGCAGGGTGCGTCCCCACCATTATCTCTGCAGGGGCTGGTGATTAGGCACATTTTCTACAGATGAGGAAACCAAGGCTCCCAGAGAGGGGACGTAACCCCCCAAGGCCACACGGCGGGTGCATGGCTAAACCTGGATCTGAACCCAGCACTCCTTCCCCAGAGCCCTCACTCCTGCTGTTCCAGCTGCCCGAATGCCCTCTCTGGCCTCAGTTTCCCCACCTGACATGTGAGCCTTCCTATTCCGACACTCTAAGCTCCCCCTACCGGAGAGCTTCTCACCTCCCTCACTTACGCCTTCCAGAGGCTTTTGGCATCTAATAATAGTAACAAGAAAAACACCCATAATAGAATAGTGCCAAGCTCTGTACTAGAGCTCTACCCACGTTGTCCCATTTAAGCCTCACAACAACCACTTTTCAGATGAGAAAAGTGAGGCACAGAGCAATTAAGTGCCTTGCCCACAGTCACCCAGCCAGGACGTGGCTGAGGCAGGGCTGAAACCCAGTTCTGCCTCTAAAATCCATGCTCTTAAGAAAAATGCTGCTGTTTCTCAAAGTGCATCAAAATGCTTTGGGGTGCTTGCAAAGAATCCAGATGCCAGGCAGCACCGCTAACCCGCTGTATCAGACTGGAGGGTGGGCCTGGGAATCTGCATTTTCACCAGCTTCCCCAGCAGGGTAGAGAAGCTCCCCACTAAACCACATCGTCCGTGAAGATGCAGAAAAGGGGGTGAGAAAGATGACTGTGGAAAGCGAGGAAGGGGCCCAGATCAGTACCCCACATCTCCACACCCGTTCAAGGCCGTGGTGCCCTGGCCAGGTACCTGTGCGGACTTGTTCCTCTTAGAGTGAGAAATTAACTCTTGCGTATGAACCCCAGGAGCAACAGGTTCGTATGCAAATATTGGGTTCCTTCCAGCCAATCCTGAGCTCCTGGCTCTGGGAGGGGGCTGGGCTTCCAGGACTGGAGCCAATGAGCTAGCAGTCCAGGCTGGAGGGGCGGGGCCAGGGTCTTTTAAACCACATGCCAGGGGCCTGAGGAGGAGTGTCCGCTTTGGTGGCCCAAGCCTGGTCTGAGGCCAGCATGTCGCTGCAGAGGATCGTGCGTGTGTCCCTAGAGCATCCCACCAGCGCTGTATGCGTGGCTGGCGTGGAGACCCTCGTGGACATTTATGGGTAAGAGCCAGAGGCCTGGGGGTTTGCAGGCCCATGGTGCTGATCCTCCTGGGCCCTCCCTGCAAACTGTGCAGTGTTTCCTCAGGGCTCAGGCCTGGCTTGGCTGCCCTCTCCCCAGCCTTGGCCTTGGAACAGCAGCCAATCACGGAAGCTTGTGTCCTCGCCTGTCTCGGCCGGTTTCTTGAGGACCCCAGCCCGGGGCCTTGAAGTGTGGGGGACTGAAAGGGGTAGAGAGGTTTGCAGTGGTTGAGCCCCAGCGGGGGCTTGGAGGGGCTGGCGCCACGGTGGGTTGGGCACTCTTCTCTGTCCGGAGGATCCTGCAGGCTGGGCTGAGGGTCTGGTGGGGCACATCAGAATAGGAAGAGGTACACCTGCCTATCCAGCCCTGGCCCCAGCCTATGAGCTCTGAAAATGGAGCATCAATCATTTTTTAAAAAATCGCTTATTACATAGCACTTGCTATGAGCCAGGCACTGTTCTAAGAGCTTGAATTTAACACTTGAACTTTAACTCTCAAATTTAGTTTTCACAACAACCCTATGAGCTAAGTTTATTATTGGCTTCATTTCGTTCGGCAAATGAGGAAACTAAGACACAGAGAGGGCAAGCCACTTGCTCAAGTTGCGCAGTTACTAAGTGGCAAAGCCAGGATTTAAACCCATCCACAGTCAAGAGTCTTATGCTTCTAGCTGCGTGCCACCTTGACGAGGATCTGGTTTCCTCCAGCCACTCAACGCCCGTGCATTATGCCCCTACTGTGTGCCATGGCCGTGTCCTTAAGGCTGGCGGCTGGAGGCGAGGCCCACCGTCTCTCTCTCCCAGGAAAGAAAGGAGAGTTTGGGCAGGGTTTCAGGAGCTGGGCTCTGGGACCACCAAGGAGCTGGCTGCGTTAGCCTTGTGAGGAGTCTCCAGGTGTCCCAGCTCCAAGGCTGTGCTGGGGACCCAGGTAGTCAGGGGACTGGGAGAGAAGAAGGCAGAACCGTGTCACTGTCCCCATCTCACAGGTCTCCCACCCTCTCCACAGACCAGGTTTCTCAACCTCAGCACTACTGACACGGTAATCCCTTGTCGCTGGGCTGTCCTGTGCACTGTGAGATGCCGAGCAGCGGCCTTGGCTTCTACTCGCTAGATGCCAATAGCACACCCCCTACTTG